TAAGGACATGCTGTATTTTAAAGCAAATTATTCAGATTTATTCATCATGCTTTGCCTTTCTGTATGACTTTTTATGTAAGCATCTCAAAGTATTTAAAAGTTACGTTGCATTAATATCTTCCTGAGGTAAGAAGTATAGAAAAATAATTCAGACTGAGTTAGTGTTTCACTCCTCTTTATGCAATGACAAGTCTTTCTGTGGAGCTGGGAATTACAACCCAAAACCCTGCTTTATTACACTGCACTCTTCTGTACTTTGAGGTACTCTGCATGATTTGCAAGAGTTAAAGCGTAGATGATGTTTAGTTCAATAATAATTACCCTGGCAATTTAATTATTTGGTTTAGAAAATGCACATGGTTTCTGTCATATATAAAATATGATTTTAATAGTTTGGGTGGCCTACTTTTGCAAAAATGTAGAAGGAAGTAAGCGCTGTTGTTGATGGGTTATGTTTATAAGAATTCAAATATATCCCACTTAAACCATTTCTCTCCCACAGTGTTCTCCTCACTGAGTCTCGGCCTTCTTCCTGAGCGCTCAGCTACTCTGATGGTCTATGATGATGTAGTCCAGATTGTCTCAGGATTTCAAGGTACGCTGGGTTTTGGAAGTCGGAATTGAAATTTGAGTGACACTAAACAAAAAGCCTGACGCCCGATACTTTCTGAACTCTGTCCCGTGGGTGAGACTGGTATTTCGTGGGGAATTCGTCTGAGTTCCCTGAGGAATGCTTTTCTGTGGGATGGTTTTACCAAATTCATTAATAGCTAAATTCATCCTTAACTGCTGTGACTAGGGAATTCAACTTACTTGGCAATAAACAAGTTTGGACTTTAGTGTGCCATTTGGGAGCTAGAGATTAAATTTCTTTGGCTATCTGTTGGATGTTTTTTCATCTAGCCTCATTTAACCATCCTTGCAGTAAACATTTTCTGATGTTCTCATTGTCTAAGATTTTTCTCTGTTTTTATTTTGTTTCTTGCTTCCTGCTGTGAATGCCTTAGAAATTTAGGGCATAGAAAAAATGAAAATTTCTCACATCTGCGTTGTTGTATACCCTATATAAACTTGCTTTTCTTAAGTACTTCCTGTGGACCCTTTGACAGACTGCCTGCAAACCCACATACTACAGGATGAAACCCATTGTATGAGAAGAATAAAGTTTGAGTCACCTTTTTGTAAGGCCAAACACAGAAGTTAAAGCAACTGTAGTATCACCCAGATGAACATTGTGTTTTCTGAATCGCACAGTAAAGAACAAAATGTTCATCTGACATAGGGATCTGGGCTAACTTAGCCCAATTGATGTGATAGCTGAGGTAAGTCTGTTAACAAAAGAACAGAAGTTTTTAAAAATACCTTGATGAGCCAAAACAAGGGGACATCCTCCCTGTGAGCACTCTCATTGTGCCTAAACTGTGTCTTATTCACATGTATTATGATTACCATAATTTTAAACTCTACCAGATAGTTAATAAACAGGGGAATACTACCTTCGATAATACTCCAAGATAACCCTTGTTTTATCTGAGGGAATATAATACAATGATGTCTTCCTGACATCTTTTTTTTTTTACGGTTAGAAACCATCCAGACACAATAGGCTTTTCATTAATGATAGCACTAGATATGACTGGAGCTGAAAAGGCACTAAACAAATTAGGTAGTTGATGGAATGCTCAGAAGGAGCTGGAGAGCAGCACAGCCACTGTACGTATATTCTGCAATTGGAGAGCTGACATTATCTAATGGGGTAAATTAGATGGACGGTGAACTGCGTTAAACCACAAGGGATTCCATTAAGCAAAACATGAAACATTGTTTACCAAAAGTATTCTACTAGCATGGTGTATTAAATACTGTTATTCTTATGCAAATGTGCTATCATTACACAATTAACTTAAAAAGAATGATCTTTTCATGTTTACAGCTTCCTTTCTTCAAAAAAGGGGGGTGTTAAAGGGCTAGAGGGACTTATTTAACAAGCAAGTGAGGCTCATAAATATTTTCCACATAATCTTATTCCCTTCAGTGAATTAATCCAGGCTGTTCCCAATATATTTAAATTAGAATAATATAACTGATTCTGCTGGTATAGCAGAGAAGGAGGATAAAGGAAGAAAATGGTACCCGGAGTATTCTAGGAGTTGGAATTTGAACTCTCAGTCTCGCCCAGTAAAAACTATTTTATGGGACCAGCCTACACTCCTTTTCTTGGGAATTCTCTTGTGATGAAACCTAAATGAAAGACAGCCTAGACATTGTACCAGCGTTTGAATGGAGCCTCTCTAGTCTTGATCCAAAATCCTTGTGACCTAGTTTTTCTCTGTTACTTCTCCAATTTATTTCCCAGTAACTTTGAGCCGCTTCAAAAGAGCTGATCAGGAGTTACCTCAGTGCAAAAACAAGAGCAAAATAGAACTCATTATACCAGGAACAGACTGGGAACACTGGTGTTTGAAGCACCAAAAGGAAGGAAAGGCCTGTCTAGTACAATAAGTTACCAGTTGCTTTTGAATAATTAATCAAGCAAGAGACTTACTATGCAATTGAGAAGTTTGAGCTGATGCAGCCAGCTTCATTTCCACGATGGCATTACAGTCTGCTGCTGTGCTCTGTCAGTAATTGCGAGGGATGGAGCTTGCCAGCCACAGGGTCATTTAAGTTATTTAATACCAGCACAGTGACGAGCTGAACTACAGTGTTTAGTGAATAGGAGCTGTACGGGTACCCTCTATCTGCTTCAGACGTGACTTCACGTAGATTGAAGCTCAAATACTGGGGTGGTGCCACATATCATGCATCCAGCATGGTAGGAGATGCCTTACAGGGACTCCTTGAGATGGTTATATCTTCAGGTGTGCGTTGGCAAACTGGAACTGACAGCATTTGAATCATGGCTGGTGTGTTGACAAGAGGATGTTTAAAGAAGATAAGATCAGTGCTCCGAAGTCCTTTACCTCATGGCACTCACCAGATGGAGAGAGCTCACATGCCAATTTTATACTTGAATGTGTTTGGGGTTTGTCTGAGTTTTATAAGTTAAAACTAGGTATCTTCAGTAACAGAAGCACTAATAATAATCTATTCCCAGTGACAAGTGTTGACTTGTTGAAAATACTCTTAAGAGCCTGGTCAGCACGTCTTTTTCTCCATTTTACCACTTCCAATTCCCTCACTAAGTCTATTTCCAAATACAAGCCCAAAAATGTTCTGTGACCTTGGTTAAGGAGTACATTGGATTATCTTCCAAGCAAGGTGGTGAGAGAAGGTAAAAGTGTTGATAGCTGCCTCCCTTATGAGCTTTTCTCTGGTAGCTCCTGATCATCTGCTCCTTTGAAGTGTCTTGCTGGGTTTGGGGAGACCCAACTGAGGAGCCAAGGGGAGAGTCAGGCTGAGTGGCAGGTTTCGGGTGAATATCCACATCAAGGATTTTATTAATCTAGAGTGTGAATTAACTACTCTGCACCAGGGGTTTTTTTAATATATATATGCACTATCTACACAGAAAGCGATTTCTTCTGCCTTAAGACTTTTATCCGAGTTCATCGCTGCACAGGTTTCCTCCCAGGTTTGGGGCGCGGCCATAGGAACGCTTTGCGTTGCCTGTAGGATTCAAGAAACCAAGGTTGGCTTTCTGAGTCTTCCCTAAGTTAAAATTTGGCAGCTCATGGCTCTCCCAGTGCTACAAACCCACCATTTTTTTAATCGAAAACCCCAGAGCCTCCCCATAAACTACTGTGTTACAGACTCAACAACAGTTACTTTGTTTTTAATGCTTAATTAGTTTAGCTCTTCAGCAATAGAATACCCAGTCTTGGCAACTTTAGTAATTCATCGTTGCCAGAAACTTAGCAGAAAATCTTACTATTTTACATTGAACTGCTAGTGATAATCCTAATGCTGGTTTCTTTGTTGTGTTTGGGGTTTTTTTGTTTTGTTACTGTGGATGCTTATCCCTATGGACCATAGGAGCCCGCTCAGCAATGCAGTCAGAGATTCCCCAGTGCTTGAGCAGATCTGTCCCTGAGGTACAGCAAACTACTACGGTATTGCAGAGCACCCGGGAGATAAGTCTTCCCTGAGTTCATTGCTGTCGATTTATTTGGTCTTTCATGTTGTTTTCCATTTAAGCCTAGAAATTGGGTAAGGGAGATTTCTTCCCGTTTCACATGGGTGTTGTTTAATGACTGTCTTAAACACTTAGGGGTGCTGCCAGTCTTGAAAGCCTACTGTAAATACTTAAATGTGTCAGAAATTAAAAAAGAAAAGTGGTTTTATAGCTTTTCCTTGCAGAATTAGCAAAGAAATGATGACTAAACGATGATCAGCTCTTTGGAGATACTTGCCCGCCTACATGGCAATTTTTGTTAGCCAATACAAAGTTTGTTCTGTGGAATTTTATGTTTTCTCATAGCTAGAGCTCCTGCTAGAATATAATGCAAGAAAAGATTCCAGTCTCCTGGTTAATGACATTGGCAGTTATAAAGCTTAGGAGTTGTGAGTCAAGCTCTTTAATGTTTCTTGCAGTGAAGTTACATGTAACCTGAAAGTGCTGCCAGAGACTAATAGGGAAAAAGAAGCAAAAATGTTTTGAGTTGACATCTTTGAACCGCATAGTCAAATGTGAATTAAGAAAAAAACCTACTTGCCTCTTGATTTTGTGCTGTGTGGGGACTGTTCTGTGGGTATTCAAAATGAGCTCTGGAGAATACAATAGCTTTTGATTTAAAAATTAATTTGCATGTTGTACACACAAGCTTGCAGATGGAGCCTTACTGCGTGTTGCTAAATGGTATTAATGGTGAGCATCCATTGAAAAAGATTACTGACTTTATAAACTGGGATTTAAATCAGATGTGAAATGCCATAGTACATGAAACAGTCTTAAATCATGTTGCAGCAAAGACCCTTTGATTAACACCTAGTGATCTTGAAAAAAATGCTGAAACTGTACAAAACAGAGGAAAAGAGAGAAATCTCATATGCCAAGTAATCTGGTTCTGTTTAGATGTGGTTTTTGTGTGGGAAAATATGGAAACTTTTTTCACCCAAGCTTCATCAAGTGAATCTTTTTATCCAGTGATTTAAATAAAAAGTGACTATTATCTCAGTACTAGAGATAGTTAATGTGGCTAAAGCTTTGTAAAAATTAAATACAGAAATTACACAAGTTAATTTGGACTACAGGTAGAATTGTCTCTTTGAAAATCAATTTAAAAAGTAAAAAATACATTTATCTTGGCTGTTTCAGGAGAAACAAAATTTAAACAAATATTGTGAACTGGATGCCTTTCTAAGCTCTCCCTCTAAACTCAGTTTTAGGTTCTGTTATGTTCATTAAAATAAGCATGTGATGAAATTGGAGATGATCCAGGGAAATAACCTAGTAAGGAAAACTTCTGACATTAGGTGCCTTTACAATTTTGCTCTGTGATACTTGTGGAAAGATAATGGCAACTGCAAAATAAATGTGAAAACGTTGGTTTTCCTCCTCTTTCATAATAGCCTTCCGATATCTCTGTCCTTCTCAAGCTATTGCAATTTGTAATGAAAAAAAACCTGTAAATGTGCTTGCATAAATGCGAACACACACTCTGCCTGTCTTGGATACAAAGTCACTTTTAATTTTTTTAGGTGCACGGACTCAGCCACAAGTTCACTTTCAGAGAAGATCTGTGAAATTACCAGAGAACACTAGCTACAGTGATTTGACAGCATATCTGACTGCAGCCAGTTCACCCTGGGAAGTGGACAGTTTTCCTTATTTGCAGGGATTAGATGGAAATGGAACAGGTAACCCACTGCTTCGGTTTTGCTCTGGTTTCATATTGGTCCAGGGATCAAGTTTTGACCATATCATTTTATCCATTCCTCATTCCAGCAAACATTCTTTAAAATTTGGGTGACATTGTAGATTCAACTGCCCTACCAAAATGCTGTTCCAATAAGCAAGAGATCAAGGTCTGCTATCCCTTAAGTGGGGCCACTGAATAGCAAAGATGAAGACTCCTTGGCCCTGGGAGATTGGAAGAGTTTGTTATTACACTTGTAGTTTAGAGCTGAGTCTCCAAATGTGTCGCACATGCACATACAAGAATGGAAATTAATGTGAAGGGACAAAAGAAAATTTAACTCGCCAATGCCATAGAATTCTTGGTTGGGTTTTTTTTCTAAAAATAGATAAAAATGCCTATATATCAAGGATATTTAATACTCTCTTGTTTCAGCTAAGAGTTGATTCAATGGCTTTGTTAATACTTTTGAATCTAGCTTCAGCCAAAAATGTGCAAATTGATCTAGCATCAACGGGAAAACAATGAAAATTCATAGTAGAAACACAACCACTGTTAAATTCAAAGCTGTAATACATTTTTATGACTACAACTGCCTGTTACTCTTCTTCCACTTCTCATTTAGTCTTGATTGAAATAATTGGTGTTGTGTAGGTTAGAGAAAAATAGAAGAATTGGGCACAAAGTCTTCACATTCTTAAAATGCTGGTGTGGAAAGGAGTATAATGTTTTCTGTCTGTCCGTATTGGGTTAGATAGCAAGCAGTGGACTTGCAGTGCAGCAAGAGAGATTCAGACTAGTGATTAGGAAAATGTTATGGTAAGGATAGGTTAGGCTGTAGAATCAATTGCTTGAGGGTGTTGGACAGAGCTAGACTGGCACCTGTGAGGATGGCATAGGCATAGCTGAGCCTGCTTTGAAGCTGCCTAAATAATCCCTTGAGATCCCTTCCTGCTGTTTCTCAGGATGCATTTACTTGTGATATGTTGATCTAGGCCACTTTTACACACATGACCCAGCATTCAATGGTATGTACTGAGCTTGCTAGCTTTTTCTTAAAAAAAGGCAAAATGGACTTCCCCTTCCTTTTTTGTACAAATCTGAGTATCTCCTTTTCTATTACAATTAGAAATGTGTCTGCTACCTTACTGCAGTCCTTCTGTCTGCTCCAGTGAGCATATCTCATCCTATCTCAATCTGTCTCTCTGTCATTTCCCTATTCTCATCTTCAACCTTTGGCTTTCTCTGGCTCTGCATACTCAAACATGATCAAATATCTCTTTTTCTTTTTTAAAACAAAGGAATGCACTTGATCTCACTCATCTGTCTACTTCCTCATCTTCTTTCTTTTTATCTTTAAACCCACTGAACAAACTGCTGACAATGTGTGTGGGATTCTTCTCTCCTAAATCTTTCCTTAGTGCTCTGCAACCCAACATCCCACCCTTGCATTTATTTAGTGAAAACAGGTCTTGCCAAGATTTCAGATGACCGCCTCTAATGGGAACTGCACATCCAGGACCTCATCTTTCTCCTGTTTCACCTCCTAGCTTCCTACCAAACAGATGAATGCACCCTTGGTTTTTTCAGTCTTCTGTATGCTTGCACGACAGGAACTTTTCTACTTGAGCATGAGTGCCCTGGATTTGACTTTTATTAGCCCTCACGTAAAAGTATGTCATAAAAGACCAAAATGACCAGCAAAGAAATGGCGTTTAAGGGAATGAAGAGCCTTGTTTTCTGAATACTGTAGTATTCAGTATGGTATAATACAGACTACAAATACAATATATTTGTATATGCACTATAGTATAGATAAAATGTCCTTTGTTTTCAGTAGAAGTTTCTCCTGATGTGGAAACATGAAACTTTAAAATCCTAAACTAGGATTGACTTCCTCTTCTTCATCTCCAGGCGAGTTGGTGAAGATTTAACCTGAAAAACTTTTGAAGGAATAAAAAATGAGATCACTACCTGCTGGTGATTTTTTAATATTTCTGTTCTCAAGAGAAAAAGAAAAATATGTACAAATTTTAGAATTAAAAAAAAAAATTAGCATTAATTTGCATGGGAAATTTTGGAGTATTCCTGAACACTGCCCCTTTTCCCCTCTCCCACCTTTCCTTCCCCAGTTACTCCTCTGTTCTTTCACAGTTTATTTACATGTCTTTAGAGTTTGGAGAGGTCCTCCCATTTCTTTCAGCCAGCTCTGTTCTCTAGCTAGTATTTATTCGGAGTGACTTTACAGTTAGTTGTTTTAACTAAAACTTATTCTGAGTTCGACAGTTTTCACGAAAAAATAACTGAGTTTTGAAGTAGTAATACGGAACGGTGAAAATTCATTGCACGAATCAGCGTGTTCCAAACATAAAAATTCAAAGAATTTAGGCTGCACATAGTGACGAGCCTGTATAGTGTTACCTTATTGTTTGTATTAACCACCAGTTGGAGAGCAGGAGGATGGATTCACAACATCTTGTCCTTTTAACCAAACTAAACAAAAGTTTCCATCATCTCTAGTAATGGATCAAGCTGGCTAATAACCATTACTCCTGCTGGTTTTGTAGGCTGTTTGTTTCTTTATAAAGAGACAAGACTAAGTCACAGTGGATTTTCCTCTGATTATTTTTAGAGCTCTTTACAGGTCACCAGATGTCAAAAATGACAAGAAATAAATGAAAGCTGACATTTATTGAAGTCTATTCCCATTTAATCTGTGCATGTGCTTATCAGTTTTATAGCATGTGAGAGTTTCATAAGCATTGATTTTAATTTACCTTCACAACAGAGAAGAGAACAATTTATCTTTTTAATGAGCATTTACGTACTGTGCAAGGTGGCAGACTGAAGGGTTATTTCTTCTTGTCAGAGGTCAGAGGAATTTCAGAAATTTCTTCATCTTCTAATATAAGCTGTTCAGCCCAGTACACAGCGAAGTGTCAGTGCATCTTAAGTAAAAAAAAAATAAAAATATATATTAAACAGTGTTTTACCATCAGAATGCTTTCTCTGGAGTTGAAAACTCTTTTTTACAGATATCAGGCAGATATGCTTTATCAAGACAGTAATGAAAGAAAAATTCAAAACTTTCAATATCTAAAAATAAGTAAAATATAAAACAATTTAATCTTAGATATTAATCTAAATGTTTCTAAAATCTGAAGTTATACCTTTTGTCATTGGGAATTTGTGTATGCCAGAACGTGGTCAGTTTATGATACTTAGCAACAGGAATTTATTTCTCTGATACCAGCCTGAGAAACTTAGTGGCCCAAGTCCAGTGACCTGGGGACAACCATCAATCTGACAGAATTTATAGGTGTGTGGCAGGAGCAGTGGATTGAACAATCAGGAATAAAGGAGCAATTTTTTTTCCCCACTAATTCCCTCCTCTATCTCTCTCTTTCATATTCTAAGGCTGTAAGGGGGTGATATTGTGCACCATTGGAGCCTGTAATATACAAATGCTTGGGTAGGCTGGCAACTTTCCCTGCACCCTAGCTGAATTTCCAAACCTTATTTTTTTCTGTTTTTTTCTGTCAGCTTTGTGGCTCTCTTATATGGCTATCTTCAGAGTGCCTGTTGTTTTCTCAGCACCTTAATCCCTCTGGAAGATATGCCTCTGCCCCTCCGGTCACAGTAGATCAAAGCAACGTGTATGTCCCTTGCCTGTCAGCTGTGCAGCAGTGACGCTCGCCTTGAAACCTGGGGGAAACGTGTGTCAGAATAGATGCTATAGTAAATAAGCCACATGCAAATTTAATTCTGGTTATTTTCCATGTCTTCAGTTTGGCGTCTTTTGCAAAATCCAAAGAATTTAAAATTCTGAGGAGTTTAGTCTTTTTTTCCTTCCCTTTGCCGCTTCCCCTCTCCTTCCCTTTTCCTGGTGATGTCTTAACTTTGGTGAGCTGATACTTAGACACATCGAATTTAATAAAGGCCATTCCTTGAGACTTACTCGCTGTTAGGAGAAATCATAAAGGTCTTAATGCTTTCCCACTGTTCCCTCTAATGTACTCATCCTACTGAACACTGTCGCTGAGATACTGCATATTCCTGAGGGTTGTGGCATACCCAGCATACCGCTGCTGGGCGCCGGTGTGCTGTTACAGGCAGTTTATGCTGATGTAAGGCACCAGGATTTACAGCAGGAGGGGCAGCACCCCCTCTTTGCCAGCCAGGCACCCCTGTTCCTTCTCTCAGATTAGCCCTGCAGCAGGATGAGCCGCTGCACAGCCCCCGGAGCCAGCAGCAGGGTGGCCCAAGCCCTTTGCAAACCTGGAAGCTCCATCTCTTCGGATTTAAACTACTACCACTATTCCTTTGAACTCTGGATCTCCTTGGTTTTAAACCTCAAGCTTCCCCCCCCCCCGAACACATATATATATCTGTGGTATTTTTTCCTGTTGATTCATTTGGTTTATGGTTGAAGGGTTGTAATGCTTTTTTAAATCATGTTGTGATGAAGTAACGTCCATTGGCATGGAGTTTAAACATAAAGGATAATTCTTATCTTACATAGATAAGAAGATAACACTGTGTATCCTAATAATCCACTTAGCTTGGTTTATTTCGATGAAGGCCCTAAGGAAATACATCCTGGCATTCTTAAACATATGACCGATCATCCTTGCAGTGTCATTGCATGTTTGGGTGTTTGTTAGTTATACTGTCGGCATGTGAGGATATAATAGAGGCTTGTGAGATACTATTTTTTGGCCATGATTATGGCTGTGTTACTCATACATATTTATTTAAGATGAAATAAGATGAGAAAATATATGCAGGAGATTTTTGCATTGTAGTTTTCTTGTCTTCAGAATTTTTCAAAATTAAGTGAAAAATACAGAAGCATATACATCTGTCTTGTGAATTTCATAAGGCAGGGAGGAAAGGATTACTACTACTACCCCTTGAGAAATATGTTGGTACAGTACTGCGGTGTTGAACCACGTGGGAATTCTGGGAAATTCTGTAGTCACAATGTTCGTTCATTCTCTCGGTAGGAAACAGCACTAGGTATGACCTCACCCCTGTCACTGCAGTCAGTGTTCATCTCCTCAACAGCGATGGGACTCCAATCCCCGTGAATGGCCCCATCTATGTAACAGTGCCTCTGCCAACAAACAGCAACTTGAAGCACAATGCAAATGTTCCAGCATGGAGGTTTGACCAAAAATTTGGTAGGTAACATCTAATTGTGATTCCCTAGATGACTTCATTTGTCTGAAACTAATGTCTCACTGCATTTATTATGGTAGTATATTACGGTCTTCATTGGAGTGTACAGAAATCTGTTGTCTGTCTAAAAGGAGAGAAGACTGAGGTTTTTTGATCAAGTATTATATAGTGTATATACAAATATACTTAAGTAGCATTATGTGCCACTTCTAGGCAAACTTTTTTTGTAAATGTAACATTTTGCAATTATTAAATAAAAAAAAATATCTTGAGAGAACTTGATTTCACCCAGAGACTGAGAAGCAGAGAGACATATTTGCCGCAGCACTGAATTGGAAGTCTGGAGAAATGGAAACTAGCCTTATCATTGCCAGCAGCCAGCTATCTGACCTTTGGTCCGTCTCTTGTCTCTAGCTCAGTTTCCTGCCTGTCAGATAGGAAACATAATACTGACTTCTTTTGTAAATCACTTTGAGATTGACTAATACTATCAAGAAGGAAAGTACATGTAAACGATTTTTTTTTTTTTTTTTAAAAGGGAGCAAGCAAAATTCATCAAATATTTTGAAAGGACAGAATGACTAATCAGCATAAGCTGTAAAATGTACTCAGTTTTTTACATTGTAGGATAATGTTTGCTATTGTGAACAGGAATTTTTCCAGAAATATGTGGTTTAGGTTCTCTATTTTTGTTTTGGTTTGTTTTTTCATTGCTAGCTGGTATACCGTGCTGGCCTTCTTTACACCTTCAAAGTGTAAAGGATTAAGGGGTGCGTAAGTCTTGTCCTGGTGATTCCCCTTCAGTTATTGCACTGTGCTTTCTGAAGTACGTCCCAGATGGTTGTTAAGAAAAAGAAGTGAAAAAAAGAAGAACGGAAAGTGAGAGAGGTAGAGGCTGTGAGGAAGAGGAAGAAAAAGGAGCCAGAAATGTGGATCTGTATAGACAGTCAGTGGGATTTTGTACCTGCAAGGCAAATGTTTTGAGCCAGTTTATGATCACATCCAGAAGTAGAACAACGAGCGTGAAACCACTGCATTGGAGGAAGGGAGGGGAGGAGGGAAGAGAGGGGTGAAGGGGGAAATAACGTTTTTGCTTCCTTCCTGCCTCTGCTGAAAAAGGTGATGTATTTTCAAACAGCATGCCTGATAAATCTTTTGTCAGGAGTAGGCTGTATTAGAGAGTAAAGCAGTAGGATTTAATGAATTAATTTGAACGTGATACAAAATTGAATAGTAGAAAAAGAGTGTAATGAATGGATTTGGGGTTTCCCTTAACTGTAGAAACATCACATTTTCTTGTGGTGCCCTGGCAGTAAGTTTTGCTACGTTCTTCCTGAAACTGATTTTAATTTGTGATTTTAGAAACTATTTTGTTTTCCCTTGTTCAAAAAAAGACGGGGAAGACTGACTCACATTTACTTTCTCCACAAGAAGCGGTCCATCCCCAACCCTTCCTGTCAGCTGTGTTATAGCCCGCCTCATTGCTAGTTACTCACTGCTAGTATATAACGGTTCTGATTTTTATTATGGAGCTTTCTCATTTATTGCTGATGTTCCATGCCCCTGCAGCAGGGCTACAAAAGCTCTCTTTCACTATGGAATATGATTTTAACTGTTGCATATAAAGAGCTAGTTACCCTATTGTGTGCAGCATATATTAGTACGGATCAATACGAGTTAGTCAATTTAGCGCTGCAGGCTTGAGGCTCCCAATCTTGAGACAAGTTCAACCTCGTTTGCTTCATGACAAACTGCTGGAGCACTTGTGTTATTGGGAGGGGAAGGCATGAGGGCCACTGAACAAAATGCGTCTTTGTCAGGCCTCTTAGCTTCACAAAGCCACAGAGAGGAAGGTATTGAAGACGTTATGCTTAGGCTCCAACTCACACTTCAGCTGAAGTAAGCATCTTTCCTTACAACCAAAGATGTTGAACAAAGATGCATTTAAGCCCTGACTGCAGCATGCCAGTTCTAGCAGAATTTTGGCCACATCCCAACCAATTTAAATTAGAGTAGCCTAATTTAATAAGTAGAGCAGCCACTCTATCTTGTGCAGGCTACATTAACACCCTAAGGGCTGTCAAACTAGTGCAAACACGGTGGTGCCCTGACATTCCCCATCCCTGTTGTGCTTGGACTGTGAAGGGAGGAGGATGGATGATGACTGGGATGGCCCTACGCTGGAGAAATCCATAACTGGCAGATAAGTTGTCGTAACCCATTTGCATTGCCAGATCTGTGACTTGTCAGGATAGATCGTCTAACCTCATTATTCTGATTTTGTCTTTCATTTCGGGAGCTGGGTTTTTTTCAGTGCTAGTTATGTTGCGGTCTCTCCTTAATAGATTTTTAGTGGCTTAAATTTTCACACTTGTATCTCAAAATTGAGTAAATGCCAGAGAAGGAAAACTATGACTGTATTACCAGGCAATAATGCAGCACTCCTCTCTAGTGTATTAGCAGTACAGTGGGTGCTTGTTTGTGCAAGCCATTGTTTTTGTTTAGAATCCATGTGGTTGTCATCATTACTGCATGAAGTAAAATTTCTGCTCTAAAAAGCAGAAGTACTTTTCACTTCTAGAGGAGGGAGTGGAGAAGGGACAGAAATACTAGAAATATGTTTTAATCCTTAGAATCTCATACATTTTGCTGAGCTTATGATGTACTAATATAAACCCCGTGGCATCTGATTGGAAGTGCAGAGATTTTCATCGTTTCTACACAAATTATGCATATTTGCATATTACGGCAGCCAAAAATAATTAATGGCTTTTGAGAATGTTTACCATAAACAATCTGTATTTTCATTACCACAGTTTCTGTCTTGAGAGAGAAGAGGGGAGAGAAGGGGGAGAAGCAGCATAGTCTACGTAAGGCTGAGAGTGGCTCCATTGACACTGATGAAACAGCCAGCCAGAAGAAGCAGGCTGACATCAAAATAAGACAATCTGCTGCATCTGTTTTACACTGTTCCAAATGAAATTTTTTTCATTACAAAACAAACTTAGTGCCTTGCGTGCACAGCAAGCAAATTAAAGCAGTAATACTTTTTTGAATAATTAATAAAATGAAGAGCGACTATCTATGCCCTGGGGAAGTTTTAGGATAAACGAATACATCCAACCTTATTCTTGTGTTGGAGATGCGCTCCACCACCTTTCTCTGCAGCATTTCTTAATGGTGGACTAGATGATCTCCAGGAGTCCCTTCCAACCCCTACCATTCTATGATTCTGTTGGTAATAATAGGCACAGATGCATTGATGTTATGGAGACGTAGACACTAAAATGCGATTTAATCATTCCACACTGTTGATACACCCGTATCTCTTGTATTTCACACAACTGTGGGAGAGTGATTTTATTTCATAGTACACACTTAAAGGTTTGAACATAAGAGATACAGATTCTCATTTTTATTATCAGGATTGTTCAGTGTGGTTTTCTGGGTTGTTGGGAGTTTTTTTCCCAAGCACTGTCTTGTTTTTCTCGAAATCTGAAGGGGCTGAAAAAAAAAAAATTTTTTTTTTTTTTTTTTTGCTTTATCCGCAAGCAGATGGTTGGGATCATGACTTCCTCTCTATATTTCCCTTGATGTCAGTAGGATTTACAGCAATATAATTAATCTCTCTATTCTTGGACACCAAACTTCTGTCCAAGACTTCTTCCTAGCCTTATCCTCTTCAGTTAGAGATGAAAACTACAGATCCCAGTAGAAATGAAACTTTGTACCTCCTGCATCATTTCCAGCTCCCACCAGCTGGACTGAGTAACACAGCACTTGCTCAGCTGTATTCTCCTCAGCCCCCATTTGGAAGGTTTATGCTTTATGTTAAGGTGTCTGTTTTTCATTGGATTCAGTGAGCAAAACTGTAAGACCAGTGTTCTCCATTTTAAGTCCTCAGTTTCATCCCACGTGGTATGGAGGCATGATGCTGCACCTAGACCTCTATATCCACATCTAGAGCTGTATGAAAGACTTTAAAATATTACCAAGTATTCCAGAGTGTAGAATATGGAATGAGATTTATTCTTCAGTGACAATATCGCTGCATCTGCTAATTTATTAATCCCACCAAATAACAGGAAAATATTTTCAACAGTGTTTTCAACCTTGTGTGGCAAAGGACTCTGGAGCGAAGGGGTTAAATCTCCACCCTTTTGTTCCTCCTCCTTAAAATGTGTTGTTTCTTGTGTACTATGTGTAAATGAAGTTCAGAATAATGTTTCTCTGTTCTTCCTCCTCCCCGAACACTTGGTGTACATCTTTGACGTGACCTCGTTGTCTTTAAATTACTAGCTTCTTCACAGAGGAGGATGTTTCCCCAGTGCCTGAAATCCAACCATGTATTAATGTAAAGTGATGGCAGAAAATGGAGAAGAGTATCCTGGGAAGCTCTTTTTATAGCTTTATAAAGCACAATACTTTATGTACTCTGCTGTGCTTGGTCAGTGCTTTGTGACTGCATTTAATGCTATAATAGATTTCTAAATACATTTGAAAGTCTGGTACTTATGACGTCCTGCCTTCAGTGGTAAAATTTCCATTGATTTTTGTAGAGTCAGAATTTCCTGGTGTTCTTTCTTCAGCAATATGAAGATAATGTTTTCTGTGCTCAAAAGAAGTTGTGAGGATATGCTTATGTATAAACAGTATTGTTGTCTACTTAAACTTGACTGCAATATGGTTTTGCTGTATTTCATGGAGGTGAAATGATGCTTGGTTTTTGTTTGTAATGTTTATTACAAGAGAGTGACAGCTACTGTTAGGCAGAAAACACAGGCAGGTTACATCCACCTGTCTAGTTCGCTGCACATTATTTATAAATAAGATGAGTTGTAAAAGTCTCTGATTTAAGCTTCCCATGTAGTAGCAATGATAATCTGCCCAAAGAAAAGATTGATTTAGATTTTCATAGTTTAAAAGTAAAATGTGTTCCTTTTTGTTGTGAGTTCCATTAACTTCTGATTGCCACCACATTCCCACACTGCATGACAAATTG